CTCCCTCGGCACCCCGCCCCGCTCCCCTGTCACCCTGCGGGGACACCGGGCTCCGCGAGGAGAGACACGGCCTCCCGGCCCCCGGCCAGACCCCCGCCCGCCAGGCGACCCCGACCCGGTCCCGCAGGCCCGCGAACCCGCCTCCCGCCCCCAGGCAGCCCGCAGAGGCCTCAGACACACCTGCAGAGGCGCCGTCTCTGCTGGAAGGCTGCGCCAAACCCAGCCCGGCCCCCTGCAGTACCGCGGACCCTTTCACGCTACCGAGTCCTCGATCCCCCGCGGCGCAAGACAAAAACCCTGGCGGCTGAAAGGAGATGGCACTGAGCATGCGCAGAACCGCTCCCTGCCCGCCACTCTAGAACTACGCTTCCCAGCAGCCTCGGCGGCGACTCCATGTTTGAATGAGTTGTACACTTCGGCGCCCTCTAGCGGCCCAAGTGACTGCTGTTGTGATTTTTCCTGGAGGCCTGGTCCTCGTTACTGATGGCGATGAGTGATGGGATCCAGCATTCCCACCCCATGAAGACAGGAAGCTACAGGAGGAGGTGCGATGAATATTGATGGTTAACTTAAGTGCTTGGAGCTACGTACGGCAGCAGATTTTATTTTAGGAGTGCTAGCCTTCCAAATTATGCAAATATACATGAAACATGCAATAAACTAGAAAATAGTACAAGTGTAAGCCAAAACAGGAGATGAATGCCACTCTCCATCCCCCCCCCAAAAAAAGCATGCTTAATATTGGGAGCATGTCCCAAGATTTTTGCACAGACTTTATGCCAATAGTACTGAATCTAAATAATGATTATGGGAGCAGGCCATGGTGCAGAGGCTGGGCCACCCCTTGGGATGGCTGCATCCCGTATCAGAGTTCCAGGTGCTCTACCAGCTCTGCTTCCCATACGGCTTCCTGCTGATGCATCCTGGGAGGCAGTGATGATAGCTAAAGTATTTGGGTTCCAATCACACAAGTGGGAGCCCCAGATCAAGTTCAGTTCCTGGTTCTGCCTGGTCCATCCCAGCTGTGGTATTTGGGGAGTATCAGTAGGTGGAACAGCTCTCTCTGTCGTTTTCTCTCTGTCTCTATGCCTTTCTTTTCTTAAGATTTATTTCTTTATTTGAAAGAGTTACACAGAGAGAAGGAGAGAGAGAGAGAGAGGGAGGGAGAGAGAGTCTTCTGTCCGCTGGATCATTTCCAATTGGCTGCAACGGCCAGGGCTGGGCTGATCCGAAGCCAGGAGCCAGGAGCTTCTTCTGGGACTCCCACGCAGGTGCAGGGGCCCAAGGACTTGGGCCATCCTCCACTGCTTTCCCAGGCCATGGCAGAGACCTGGATCAGAAGTGGAGCAGCTGGGACTCAAGCTGGCACGGATATGGGATGCTGGCCCTGCAGGTGGTGGCTTTACCCACTACATCGCAGTGCCAGCCTTCTCTGCTTTTCAATTAAAATGAAAATAAAAGAATTTCATGACTATAATTTCACTAAGGAATATTTACTGAATACATAAAACAAATTATTTCCTGGTCAATAACTTTTTCTAAGATTTATTTTGTTTATTTGAAAGGCAGAGTTATACACACAGAGAGGGAGAGATCTTCCACTTACTGATTCACTCCCTAAAAGGCCCCACCAGCCAGGGCTGGGCTGGGCCCAAGCCAGGAACCTCTTCATGGTCTCTCATGTGGGTGCAGGGGCCCAAGCATTTGGGCCATTCTCTGATGATTTCCCAGGTGCATTATCAGGGAGCTGGATTGGAGGTGGAGCAGCTAGGACTTTAACTGGTGTCCAAATGGGATGTTAGTGTTATTGGTGGCAGCTCCCTTGGTCAATAACTTAAATGTCTTCAATTTATTCTCTCTATCTCTCAACCTAGAAACATTTTATTTAAAGTATACCAACTTCATGCATTTCATATATACAAATTTAGGAACATAATGATTCATCCCATCCTACCCTCCCTCCTGCCCCCACTCCCAACCTTCTTTCTTCTCCCTCTCTTATTCCTATTCTTATTTTTACAATGATCTATTTTATTTCTTTTTTTAAAAAATTATTATTTATTTATTTGAAAGGCAGAGTTACATAGGCAGAGAGAGAGAGAGAAAGAGCAAAAGAGAGGGCGAGCGCGAGAGAGGTCTTCTATCCAGTGGTTCACTCCCCAAATGGCAGCAATAGCCAGAGCTGGGCTGATCTGAAGCCAGGAGCCAGGAGCTTCTTCCAGGTCTTCCGTGTGGGTGCAGGGGCCCAAGGACTTGCACCATCTTCTACTGCTTTCCCAGGCCATAGCAGAGAGCTGGATTGGAAGCGGAGCAGCCTGGACTTGAAACAGTGCCAATGTAGGATGCCAGCACTGCAGGCAGTGGCTTTACCTCTATGCCACAGCGCTGGCCCCACAAAGATCTATTTTCAATTAATTATAAGATTAGCCCTACACTAAGCAAAGAGTTCAACAGAAGTATGAAACAGATGTTCCTCAGCAGTCAAGACAAGAACTCTTCAAAGTCATCACATCTCAAAGTGTCCATTTCACTTCCGTTGATTACCTTTTAGGTACTCCATTAGTTATCACAGATCAGGGAGAACGTATGGTATTTGTCTTTTGGGGATAGGTTTATTTCACTTAGTATAATATTTTCCAGTAGCATCCATTTTGTTGTAAATGACAAGATTTTTTTAACTGCTGGGTAGTATTCCATAGAGTACATATAACCATAATTTCTTTATCCAGTCTTCAGTTGACAGACGTCTGGGTGGATTCCATATCTTAGCTCTTGTGAATTGAGCAGCAATAAACATGGGGGTACAGATCACTCTTTCATCTGCTGATTTCATTTCCTCTGGGTAAATTCCCAGGAGTGGGATGGCTGGGTCATACCGTAGCTCTATATTCAGATTTCTGAGGTATCTCCATACTGTCTTCCACAGTGGCTGTACCAGTTTACCCATCAATTTACTCTTGTGTCAACAATTGAAATGAGTTTCCCTTCACAATAGTTACTAAAATGTTATAATTTTTATAAGAAAGCTAAAATTAAAGCATGTAGAGTCCATATAAAGAAATAATTTTAAAGTCTCTTGCTATCCCAGAAAATCCTTTCCACAGATGGAGAAAAAAACAAAAGCAGTTTTATTATTGAACAAACATTAAATCAGACTGCCATATGCATCACAGGCTATCCATTGATGAGCTTGCAAAGACAGAAATTACATAGACATAAATATCATATCTATATATATTCAGGAAGGATGTGGGACCTATTACATGTTCTCAAGAAAAAAGATAATTTGTTCTCACATGAAAAAACTTGACCACACCCTTTACTACATGTAATTTGTTCTACATGCACATGATATTTAGAGTAGCCATTGGTATTCACTGCTTTGATCCAAATGAAAGTAATTCTTCTTATAGTTCTCTGACAAGCAGGTAGCTAAAACATGAAGAGCCTGGGTACTTACCACAGTGACAAGGAGTTGGTGTGCTGTCTTTCTTGGTGTTTACCAACCAGTGGCATGGCCCCAGGGTCATTAAGAAAGACCTGTCTTATAAAACTAGTGGTGGGCTTATTCACGTCTTAAAAAGATTTACTAACTCTCAATGGGACAGAGCAAAGGTTTACAATGATGAGTTTTCTCAAGGAAATGTTCTTAGAAAAAAGTAAGAAGCTCCCCTTTTTGCAAGAGAGAAAATTCAGTTTTGCATGTTTATGAATATCTAATCTTGTGTTCCTGTTGCCCTTTACCTACATCTCCTCCTTGAATTCTTGTTATTATTATTTTTTTTTGACAGGTGGAGTTATAGACAGTGAGAGAGAGAGACAGAGAGAAAGGTCTTCCTTCCATTGGTTCACTCCCCAAATGGCTGCTATGGCCGGCGCTGTGCCGATCCGAAGCCAGGAGCCTGGTGCTTCTTCCTGGTCTCCCATGCAGGTGCAGGGCCCAAGCACTTGGGCCAGAGCAGAGAGCTGGACGGGAAGAGGGGCAACCGGGACTAGAACCCGGCGCCTGTATGGGATGCCGGTGCTGCAGGTGGAGGATTAATCAAGTGAGCCATGGTGCCGGCCTCCTCCTTGAACTCTTTTGCACACGGAGGCAAGAGCCTGGAACAAGTGTAGCTGCAGCAGAGATGGTGTGGTTATTGTAATTTTTTTCCTCATCAATTTGGTCCTGTGGTCTCCTGTCTGAGAGTGTCATAAACTCCAGCTCTTCCCTGCTGGAGCTCCGGAGATTTGGTACTGAACGTGCTTTTCACACCGCAATTTCTATATCCTTGTGGATCACCTAACGCCCCAGTGTCTGCATTGTGGCCGCGCCTCTCTCCCAGGAAACTGGCTGATGCCCTTGTGACTCCTGTTTGACCGTTTATGGCTACCGGGAGAGGGTAGGATTCTTGGAGCCTCTAGCAAAGCGTTGAAAGAGACTTGCACACACAGCAAGAAAAGGCAGCGAAAGTTCATTCAAAGAGAAGGTATGCTTCCTAGAGTGTTGAAGCAGGCGCCACCCACCCCCTCAATAGAGAAAGTGGAGTCCTGGAGTTTGGCACCTGCCTAGGGGGTGTTGCTATGGAAACCCCGGCCCAGAGGTTGGTTCTTTTGTGGAGGAAGTGGATTGCCTCTCCCTTAATCCCATTTAGCTTGTTTGTTGTTTGGCCTTTGATCTTTTGTTGTTTGGCTTTCTTGGATTGCCTCTGTATAAACAGGTCATCTGGACCTCTTACTGCGCTGTTATCTAAACATTTAGCCTCTAAGCAAACGGTGGTTTGAAAAGTTTACTAACAAGTAACAAGCCAGCAATTCAGCTTCTAAACTTTATGTCTCAGTTTTCCCACTTAATCCTCACCTGTCTCCTGCCTCAGCAAGACTATTTGGTTTTATTGAAAGTAGCCTATGACTTGAAAATCTAGGGGAAGAATTCCTTTGGAAGAAGGGTGCATTTGAGAAGAAAATGTTAAAATCCCATTTTTGAAAGTTGAACTTGTAGGCTGTTTGTGATAAAGAACTTATATGTGTGCTGTTGCTGAGCTTTCGTGCCTAGAACTTCATGGCATATTTTGAACCTTGTGGAACCCTTCTGAACAGATATTTCTCAAGTTTGACTTAAATTATCAGTTTCCTAAGTAACTTTATCTTATTTTGGCAATCTTTGAGAAATGTCCCTGTACAAGTGGGCTGTTCTAGATTTAATTTATGTAAGGAATTCTTAAACACGTAATTTTTACCTTTTGTAAAAACTCTTGGAGAGAGATATCTCTCAAGATTTAATATGTCTTGGGCCGGCGCCGCGGCTCACTAGGCTAATCCTCCGCCTTGCGGCGCCAGCACACCGGGTTCTAGTCCCAGTCGGGGTGCCGGATTCTCTCCCTGTTGCCCCTCTTCCAGGCCAGCTCTGCTGTGGCCCGGGAGTGCAGTGGAGGATGGCCCAGGTGCTTGGGCCCTGCACCCCATGGGAGACCAGGAGAAGCACCTGGCTCCTGCCTTCGGATCAGCGCGGTGCGCTGGCTGCAGCGCACCGGCCGCGGCGGCCATTAGAGGGTGAACCAACGGCAAAGGAAGACCTTTCTCTCTGTCTCTCTCTCACTGTCCACTCTGCCTGTCAAAATAAATAAATAAAAAAAAAGATTTAATATGTCTTTTCTATCTTTGTTGGGCCACAATATTGAGTAAGCAGCTTCTCACACAAAGCAGAAAAGTAAGCAGGCTTTTAACTTTTACAGGGCTGGAATTTGATTTTCCCAGTCCTGACTGCCTCCTGCCTCATCTTGTGTGGGAGTAGAGTTAGACTCGGTGTGTTGGCCAGGTAAGACACAGAGGAGGCAGCACAGTGAAACACAGGAAATAGCAGAGCAGGTTTATTCTTTACAGGTCCAGAGAGGAGGGCAGCACACCTCACAAGGACAACAGGAAGGAGGGAGCCACCCAGACACACACACCTGGGGTGGGGGTTGGGGGAGAGAGACAGCCCGCAGGGCCAAAGCCTTTACTAGGGACCTAGAGGTTATTTCCTGCAGGGAGGTTTGGAGTGAGCAGACACCAATTCTAGAGGGTCACACTGTGACTGGTCACTGTGGTATATCCGCACAAGCCACAGAGATGTGGGTTATATGTGCCCACATCTTGCATCTTGCTGTCCCGTAGGAAGGATCAGCAGCCCTTAAGGCAGATGTCTGGGTCCATCACACTGGGAGGAGGCAGAGAGCCAAAAAAATGACAATACTCTGTTCTGGTAAGAGAAGGTCAACTTATATTCAAAAGGGAAGCTGAGGCAACCTAAAATTATAAGAAATTACTACAGTAGCATATTTAGTAAATGGTACAGAGAAAATGAGATTAGTTCTCTGTCTCTCCCTCTGTAATTCTGCCTATCAAAGAAATAAATTTGCCGGCACCACGGCTCACTAGGCTAATCCTCCGTCTAGTGGCGCCGGCACACCGGGTTCTAGTCCCGGTCAGGGCGCCGGATTCTGTCCCGGTTGCCCCTCTTCCAGGCCAGCTCTCTGCCGTGTCCAGGGAGTGCAGTGGAGGATGGCCCAAGTGCTTGGGCCCTGCACCCCATGGGAGACCAGGATAAGCACCTGGCTCCTGGCTTCGGATCAGCGCAGTGCGTCGGCTGCAGCGCGCCGGCCTTGGCGGCCATTGGAGGGTGAACCAACGGCAAAGGAAGACCTTTCTCTCAGTCTCTCTCTCTCACTGTCCACTCTGCCTGTCAAAAAAAAAAAAAAAGTTTATAAATAAAAAAGAAAATGAGATTAGTTATCTCATACATTAAAACAAATAGTATATGAATTCAGCATTTAAGATTTAAAAAGTGATGGAACAAGGATGAAGCCTCAGCCATTTCAGGTTCTTGTTATACCTGCCTTCTTTCAAGAGAAAAATTTGGTCTCATACCCTATTGTTCCCCACCCCACCCCTGCAATCTTCCCCAGGTTTGGAAGCCAGGCCAAACTCGAAGAACCTGTATGGGGAAGCTTACCTCCGCCTACTGACCCCTACCCCGCTTCTAGCTCACTTAAGATGTAAAAAGCCTGTTGGGGTCTGGGCCTTGTGCATCACTTTCTGTATGCACACTGGCTGTTGGTCGACCTCTGTGAGTTTATTTTCTTCAAACAAATTCTGTCTGGCTGTGAGTTTGTAGTCTGTCTCCTCTCCATTTCTGTCCCCTTTTCTTACATTTGGTGCCCTGTGTGAGGAGGCACCAATCTGCGACCCTTCCTTACAAAGAGTAAACCATCAAGTATTTCAAATGCAAAAAGAAAATTTAAGAAACACCTCATTTGAGATAACTTGAAACAAAAAGCATAAATCATAAAGGATATAAGCAAATTTTGCTAAGAAAAATTAAAAGTCCGATTTCAAAAGAGAAAGCTAAAACACAAAGTGACAAATGTATTTAGCAATGAAGAGGAACAGTACTCACACTCCTGATAACATGGTCCTACAAATCAGTTGAAAGACGAACACCTAACATGTACATTCGAGTGAGGACCGCCCATTGTGCTGCTCTTCAGTCAATCAGGACTGCCAGGGCTTGTCAGATGCTCTGCTGTAAGTTTTTAAAGATTTGATTATTTATTTGAAAGGCAGAGTTACAGAGAGAGGGAGAGGGAGAGAGAGAGAGAAGGGGGGGGAGAGAGAGAGGGAGAGGGAGAGAGAGGGAGAGAGAGAGATCTTCCATCTGCTGGTTCACTCCCTAGTTGGCCACAATGGCCGGAGCTGTGCCAATCCGAAGCCAGGAGCCAGGAGCCAGGAGCCAGGAGCTTCTTTCAGGTCTCCCATGTGGGTGCAGGGGCCTAAGGACTTGGGCCATCTTCTATTGCTTTCCCAGGCCATAGCTGGGATAGGAAGTGGAGCAGCTGGGACTCAAACTGGTGCCCATATGGAATGCCAGCACTGCAGGCAATGGCTTTACCCGCTATGGCAAAGTGCTGGCCCCACAGCATGCCATTATAAAATGCAATTTCAGAGCTGTTAAAATGTGAAAAAAAAAACACGTCTTAGAAATATTGGAATACAGCCATAAAAGGTGTAATTAACCTTAAACCACTGTATCTGAAAAATGTGTGCTATCACCAGCAATCAAAGAGATGCTAAAGCAACCATGAAATGGTATATTGGGCTGGCACTGTGGTGCAGTGGGTTAATGCCCTGGCCTGAAGTGCCAGCATCCCATGTGGGCGCTGGTTCGAGACCCATCTGCTCCACTTCCAATCCAGCTCTCTGTTGTGGCCTGGGAAAGCAGTGGAAGATGGCCCAAGTCCTTGGGTCCCTGCACCCACGTGGGAGACCTGAGGCAGCTCCTGGCTCCTGGCTTCGGATCGGCACAACTCTGGCCATTGTGGCCACCTGGGAAGTGAACCAGTGGATGGAGGACCTCTCTCTCTCTCTCTCTCTCCTCTCTCTGTGTAACTCTGACTTTCAAATAAATAAATAAATCTTAAAAAAAAAAGAAATGCAATATTACCTTTCATCTTCTCTCTTCCAAGAGCACTGCCTTAGCTAAAACACCAAGTAAAACTTTGTTCAAATTAATTCTCTTCACACTATTTAGCCCAGTGATTTTGAATGGTCTCAGGCAATGACAGTAGAATAAATTTGTGGAATGATGCTATTCACATGGCATTTTATTGTCAGGGATTTTGGTGTTTGTTCAGAGCATTTGAGTTTGATTGCAGTTTTCAGTTTCCAGATGCCCGTGAACTGTGCTTGCTGCCTGGTGCAGTGGGACTGTTCAAGCATGCTGAAAGCCCAGCCTTAGTTTCTCAGGGTTAGTAAGTTCCAACAGAAGTGGCAATATTGTGTCCTTGGTGAGGTCATCACACAAAGTGAATTCTTACTTTGGGGTCACTGGTTCTGCAGCACAGGAATAAAACTATTCTTTGAAATAAGGAATAGGACCACATAGGACAATGTCACTGTGACCTTAGGCCATTCCTCAGAGGTTCAGGGAAAAGTCACAGAAGGAACAGGAGTCCCCAGGTGTTATATCTGCATAAGTTCTTGGAAATTTTTTTCCCATTAAAAGTGTTTACTGAAGAATAAAAATATATACAAAAGTACTTATGGCATGAGTGTATCATTGTATAATTGATAAATGAATTACCAAAATTAGATGAATACAACCATGTAAACACCAAGAGGTCAAATTAAATGTTACCAATATCTGGAGTCCCACTTACAGGTCCATTCTCTATTATTACTCCTTCCTCTAAAGTAGCCCCATCCTGACTTCTAACACCAAAGTCTAATTTCATAATTTGTTACATTTTCTTTTACCCATTTAGTTTGAAGTGATCTTAAGCATTTAAAAAGTTTCAAAAATAGGATGAAGAACTTTCACATTGTTAGAGTCGACCGCCCGAAAAACGTCACCAAGAGACGTCTCTTATGCAAACAGCAAGGGGAAGCTTTATTGATTATCCAGCATGCTGGGGCTGTCTGATCATCATGAGCAGAGCAGCCCCAAATAACCAAAGGTTAGGGTTTATAAAGGCAAAAACCGCAAAATCGGGAGGGGGGGAGAGAATACACGGTTGCTAATATCTTACAATCAGCAATTATGATCTTAAGACATAGACAAATCACATCTTCATTATTAGCCCAGGTAACCCAGGTGTAACCTTTTTACTTTTAAGCTTGAGCAATCATGCTAGGGGGTTTTTGTGCGTTGTCAAGGGTGATGTAGTGCACTGCTATTGTCCGACTATTTGAGATCATAGTTTCAGACCAGAGTCTCACGGGGGGGGGGGGGGGGGGGTTGCTTTCCCAGAATGCAGTCTCAAGTGCTCCAAAATGGAGTCCCTACTGTCAAGGTGCTACTTTACTCTGTCTTATTTTCACAGCTGCACCAGGAAGGTTTAAACCTGTAAGCTTAAGCTTAACTTTTTACACCCGCACATATACAATTTTAACTCTTCAACATCAGGGTACTTCAAAAGTTTGTGAAAAATATAGCTAAAAGATTGTGTATTTGGTGCAAAAAATTTTAAACCTTTGCATAGTTTTTTCAAAACATATATTTTCCATGAGATTTT